GGCACGACAGCCGCATTAGGTTCGATTGACGGGAAAAGCATGCTAAGCTCTCCATACTATGCATACTTACCTGAAATCCAGGTCTGATATCAGACGAGACGAATTTTGGGTTGGAGTAAAGATCGTGAGAAAGACGGGATGGTGTTGCGCACACGCGAGGCGGGGTTGTTGCAGGCTATTGTAGTCCCGAGACGATTTGCCTCTATGCGTCCGCACCATAATCACTAATCCCAAAATGGACATCAGGACCCTACGTCCACGACTGGCATCTTCCCCACCAATGTCGTAAGTATCGCATGCGGGGCGGTGGGCTGCTTCCGTGCATCACTCTGCCGTTGGCCACACCGTGGGAATTATTTTGCCAATTGAAGTTTGCGCTGCGCTTAGTTTCGGCTTCTATGATGGCAGAGCGTAGTGAAATGGTCCGTTATCGCGAGTGCAAGCAGCTTTAAGAGGAGTTCGTCCTACAGCCTTGAGCAACCAACTGCCCAATTCCATACTTTTCAACTCTTTTGCAATGGCGACCTCCCAGCGCGTTGTCATTATCGGCGCCGGCGTTGTCGGCACTAACCTCGCTGACGAGCTGGTTTCACGAGGATGGAACAACATCACCGTCGTTGAGCAGGGTCCATTGAGCATGCCCGGTGGCTCAACATCGCATGCGCCCGGCCTAGTCTTCCAGACCAATCCCTCCAAAACGATGACCTTACTCGCGAAGTACACAGTCGAAAAGCTACAAGCGCTCGAGAAAGACGGACAGAACTGCTTCAACCAGTTGGGTGGCTTGGAAATTGCGACGACTCCAGAACGACTGGAGGAGCTCAAGCGCAAACACGGATATGCGCAATCATGGGGTATCGAGGCAAACTTGATCAGTCCCGATGAATGTCTCGAGAGGTACCCTCTCCTTAACAAGGACATGGTGCTAGGTGGTCTTCACATTCCAAGCGATGGCCTAGCGCTAGCAGCTCGTGCGACACAGATCCTCATCGAAAATACGCGCAACGCCGGCGTCAAGTACCTCGAGCACACCGTCGTTACCGGAATCGAGCAAGCGGACGGCCGTGTCACCGGTGTGACGACCAACAACGGTTCTGTACCAGCGGATATAGTTGTATCGTGTGCTGGATTCTGGGGCGTAGAGATTGGAGCTATGATTGGGCTCAAGGTTCCTCTCCTTCCTCTAGGGCACCAGTACGCGAAGACTACAGCTGTCCCCGGTCTCGAGAATCGCGAAGTCAACAAGAAGATCAACGCCATGAACGCCGAGCTGCCGATCCTACGACACCAGGACCAAGACCTATACTACCGAGAGCATGGCGAACAGTTTGGTATTGGGTACTATGGCCACCGTCCAATGCCCGTCAAGGCTTCAGACTTGGGCGTGACACCCAAACATGTCGATGAGAAGCACATGCCTTCTCGTTTGGACTTCACACCCGAAGACTTTGAGCCTGCCTGGAAGGCCACCAAGGAGCTGCTTCCGGTACTGCGCAACACTGAGATCGCAGATGGTTTCAACGGTATCTTCTCTTTCACGCCAGACGGTGGATCCGTCGTTGGACAAGCTCCCAATCTCGACAACTTCTGGGTCGCTGAAGCCGTGTGGGTGACACACTCGGCCGGTGTGGCTCGAGCTGTGGCAGAGACCCTTACAGAGGGCCGTTCAACTATCGACATTGCTGAGTGTGAATTGACACGATTCGAGGAAGTCCAGCTGAGCCCGGAATACGTCAGCGAAACCTCGCAACAGAACTTCGTCGAGATTTACGACATCATCCACCCTCTCGCGCCGAAAGAGAACCCTCGCAACCTTCGTGTCAGCCCCTTCTACGCACGACAACAAGAACAAGGCGCCTTCTTCTTGGAGGTAGGAGGCTGGGAGCGTCCACACTGGTACGAAGCGAACGCAGGCTTGGTCAACACCCTACCGGAAGAGTGGAAGCCTGTTGATCGGGACGCCTGGTCGTCCAAGTTCTACTCACCGATTGCCGCGGCGGAGGCCTGGAAGACACGGAATGCAGTAGCGTTGTACGACATGACAACCTTCCACAGGTTCGAGGTGTCAGGTCCTGGTGCCGTGCACTTGCTCCAGAGGTTGACGACCAGTGACGTTTCTAAGCAACCCGGCGCCATCACCCATACACTGCTCGTCAACGGCCACGGTGGCGTACTGAGTGACATTTTCGTTTCGAGAATCGAGGAGGCCCTCTTCCAAGTAGGTGCAAACACAGCGACCGATCTTGCCTACCTCACGCGCGAAGCTCGCCGTCAACACAAGCACACGTCCGGTCAGTGGGCTCAGGTGCGAGACATCACTGGAAGCACATGTTGCCTTGGTCTTTGGGGTCCCCGCGCACGCGACGTCATTCGCACGGTGAGCTCCGATGACTACAGCAACAAAGGCTTGCCGTACATGGGTGTGAAGAAGACAAGCATAGCTGGAGTTCCCGTCACCATGTTCCGAAAGTCGTTCGTCGGAGAGTTTGGTTGGGAGATTCAGACCACACCTGAGTATGGCCAGCGGCTTTGGGACATATTGTGGGAGTCGGGCAAGCCCCACGGTCTAGTCGCTGCTGGTCGCGCTGCCTTCAACGGACTGCGAATCGAGAAGGGCATCCGAGCCTCGGGTTCCGACATGACCTCCGAGCACAACCCTTGGGAGGCCGGCGTGACGTACGCGATCCAGATGGACAAGAAGGCGGACTACGTTGGCAAGGCTGCGCTGGAGCAGCTTTCGAGGAAGGCAGCGTCTAAGCGACTTCGATGCTTGACGGTCGACGACGGTCGTTCGGTGGTTCTGGGTAAGGAGCCTGTCTTCGTGGAAGGCCAAAGAGCCGGCTATGTTACCAGCGCCGCTTTCGGCTACACGGTACGCAAGCCTGTCGCGTACGCATGGCTACCCAGCACTGTGAGTGAAGGGAAGACCGTGGAGATTGAGTACTTTGGCAAGAAGATCAAGGCCACAGTGACTCGCGATCCATTGCACGATCCTCAGGAGCAGCGCTTGAGGGGTGAAGGATCATCGGAGAAGCCGGAGCTGCAGAAGAGGCTGAAGGCGCTGCTGTAGTTGGGACGTTGTAATGTTGGACGATTGTTATGACTGTACATGAGCATCGAAATGGCGTGGCTGGGTTTGGTTTAGGTGTTTGTCAGGCGTATGGGTACCATTAGTTCCATGGTAGATACTGTATTGAAAGATCTCCTCGTTGAAACGCGTCGTGCCTGATCGCTTGTTGTGAAAAAGAAGATGTGCCGCATGCCGCGCCATTTAGGATGCATCGTGTCTTTGAGGTGAACGCGTCCGGCACAGCTCGACGCGTTTGGAAGTGGGCCGCTTCTCACGTGACAATGTCTTATCGATAATGAGCGATAACGTCATCATCACCTCGGCCTTCGCAGAGCTCCATGGCCTCCTCAACTCTACGCCAATTTCTGTTCGGTGTCTTCCTCATGAGCATGTTTACTGCAACCATCAAACGATACTCTCTAGCATCAATCTCTCGCACTTTTACCAAGGTAAGCGCGAGCAATTGCTTCCACAATCTCGAATCGGAAGTTGACGCCAAGCAGCCATCGTCTCCAGCTGCACGCGCCATGCACATCCAATCAATCCCCATGTGTACGAGCACCCTGATGGAGCATCTCGAATCGTCAGGCACACTCTAACTCACTAATCAGGGGAGGGTTCGGGCAATAACTATGCCTACCTAGTCTCAGACGACAAGACCAAAGAAGCCGTTATCATTGACCCTGCCAACCCTCCAGAGTACGTCGGAGACATAGGGAAGAAGGTGCCTAGCTGACTTGACTGTAGAGTTCTACCCGTGTTGCGGGAACAGACTACCACTGGAGGTCTCAAGCTGACCAAGATCATCAACACTCACCAGTAGGGCAACCGCGCTACACAATGTGACTTCGCTGACGTATCGGATAGCCATGGAGACCATGCAGGAGGCAACGTGGATACAGTAAGTTTAGGAAGAAGCAAGCAGGGTGGGAAATCATCAGCTAACCGTCCTCCCAGATCAAGGCATTCGGCCTACCTGTAATTGGCGGTCGTGACTGCGACAAAGTCTCCGAAACCCCCAGCCACAACAGTACCTTCAAGATCGGTTCCATCAACGTCAAAGCGCTCCACACACCATGCCATACACAAGACAGCATATGCTTCTACTTCGAAGACGGCAACGACCGCGCCGTTTTTACCGGAGACACACTGTTCATCGGCGGTTGCGGCCGATTCTTCGAAGGCACCCCAGAACAGATGCACAAGGCTCTGAATGAGACCCTAGCGGCTCTTCCTGACGATACAAAGGTCTACCCTGGGCATGAATACACGAAGGGCAATGTCAAGTTTGCCAAGAGTGTGCTGAACAATGATGCCATCAAGAAGCTCGACACATTCTCACAAGAGAATAAGCAGACGCAGGGTAAGTTCACGATCGGCGACGAGAAGAAGCACAACGTCTTCATGCGCGTCGACGATCCTGAACTCCAGAAGGTTACTGGCAAGACTCAGCCAATCGATGTCATGGGAGCGCTGCGAGCCATGAAGGATAAGTCATAAGACGGAAGATTTGCACAAATAAAATGACATCAGAGCATCCTGCTATGCTGCTTGGACTAGATGCTTACTTGCAGAATATCTCCGTGAATGATCTACGTTCATCTGTGCTTGTCTAGATGGGAAGCCAACAGCGCCAGTAGCAAAAGAAGTATAACTGCGGGGAAATTATGTTAACAAATTGCGAGTGCAGGTTCGGGCTCGTGTCTCTGGTATTTGATGAGACCAGTGATAGGGCGCCTGAGGGCAGATGTTCGCGAAGGATGCAGTGCTTGACTCACAAGCGATGACTGGACTCGCGGTTCGTAACTTTAAGAACATCGTCACATCTGAAAGCACGAAACAACTTCAAATCATCTTCTTCAGCCATTATCCATACTTTCGTTTTCGTCTCACGAACAAACAAATCCTAAAGACATAAATATCTGTCGTGATGGCTACCATCGACGTCACCACGAAGGCGCCCAAGCAACGTATGAGACCGAACCAGCAGGAGACGCTACCACCCCACAAGTACTACGAAAACCGCTGTACCTTAGTACAGAGTCTACGTCAGAATACACGTGAGAATGGCATTTATTCTTCCTTCATCTCCAATCTCCTGGACCTTGGCGCATTCCGCGCTCGACACGAATCTATAACGACTGGCCACCAGCTCAAAGACGTAGAGTACGCAATACGTGGGCGCATCGTCACTATTCGTAGTGCAGGAGAGCGTTTGCGCTTCTACGAAGTTCAATCGGGCGAGGACAAGATACAGGTCGTGTGCCAGGCGACTGAACGAGATGACATCGAAGTATACAAGCAGCAACAAGAACACCTTGCGAGAGGCGACCAAATCGGTGTGATCGGTCACCCAGGGCGAACAGCACCACGAAACCGGCCTGTAGGCGAGCTCTCGCTCTTCGCGCACAAGGTCATCTTGCTAGCACCCAGCCTGCACATGCTGCCCAAGACGCTCACTGACGCCGAAACGCGACACCGCGACCGACCCCTCGACTTCATTACGAATCGACGCAGCCGCGACATGCTGCGCACCTGGGACGCGATGGAAGCCTACATCACCACGTTCCTGCGCAGCCGCGGATACATCTCAGTCGTAACACCAATCCTCTGCCAGCAAGCCGGCGGTGCAGCAGCCAAGCCCTTCATCACCCACCACAACGATCTCAAGCGAGACATGTACCTCCGGACGGCTACGGAACTCCATCTCAAGCCCTTAGTCGTTGGTGGCATTGATCGCGTGTTCGAAATCGGACGTGTGTTTCGCAATGAAGATATGGATCTGACTCATAATCCTGAATTTACGAGCTGCGAGTTTTATCAGGCGGATGCTGATTACGAGGTGATGATGCAGCTGACGCAGGATATGATTTCTGGTTTGGTGAAGAGTGTGACTGGGTCTTATGTGACCAGGTTCAAGAGTCAGACTGGTGACGAGTGCGAGATCAACTGGGAGGGGCCATGGGAGCGCATTGACATGATACCAGCTCTTGAAGCTGCCTGTGCTATCAGCTTTCCTCCTCCATCTGAACTTCACACTGAGGAAAGTCGACAGTTCCTACTAAGCCTCTTGCATGACCGCAACATCGTCTGTTCGCCCCCGCATACAAACGCCCGTCTGCTCGACAAGCTCGTGGGCTTCTACATCGAATCGCGCATTACAAATCCCACGTACATCATCCACCACCCGAAGCTCATGTCTCCACTAGCCAAGACGCATCGCGCAATCCCTGGTCTGACAGAACGCGCTGAAGCCTTTGTCTGCGGCCAGGAAATTTGTAACCTGTATTCCGAACTCAACGATCCGTTCGAGCAGCGCGAGCGCTTCCTAGAGCAGGCTCGGCAGAAGGCTCAAGGTGACGACGAAGTGCAGAGCATTGATGAAGCGTTCATCAAAGCGCTGGAGTATGGGATGCCGCCCACGGCTGGGTGCGGGCCTGGGCTCGATCGCATCATGATGTTCTTGACGAACAATTACTCAATCAAGGAAGTTTTGGCGTTCCCAATGATGAGGGAGGAGATGAAGAGGGGTGGAGGTGGGCCTGCGAATACTCAGACTGATCAGGTGGTTGAGAAGGGAGAGCGGGTTCGGGCACTGAGGGCCCAAATGGCAGCGCTTGAAGCTGAGATCGCGGGGCTGTCCATTGAGAATTTAGAATGAGGTTTTGTAGCTAGGTAGTCAGGTTTAGCATTTTCTCCTTTGGGATCGAGGAGGTGAGACTGGAAGTGCGCAAAATCGTTGGCGTGGGACGTTGATTCCTTCGTAACATCATACCTCGTATGCTATCTTACTCGTAGAAATACCAAAAATACCGCCACTGTGAATACCTCCGAAATCGCGAATCCCCTGACACATCTCAATGGAATCCTACCAGCCCGAAGCTTGACGAACGCCCCTCTTAGTAGGCATCGTCTCCTGCTCTTCAGTTCCTGAAAGTCCAATGTTAGCACTTGCTATAGGAAGTACCCTGAATACAAAAAGAAAACGCTGGACAGGATTATATGTTCGTACTCAGTCGGTGGACCACGGGGACCGAGCTTGGTGGCAAGCTGCCGTATTCGGTGATGACCATGTTGATGTACTGCGCGGGCGTGACGTCGTAGAGCACTTGGAGATGATGCAGGTTTTTGGCATCGTCAATCCATTTCAGAACGTCTGTGGTATCGGCAGGCGCCTCTTCCGATGACGACTTGTCGTCGCTCTTCGAAGCCGTAAATCGTGACTTGAGAGGAAGGAGCTCGCGGCGCTCAGCCTCGGAGAGGATTTCCTCGGCAGGGGCGACTTCATTTCCGACGATGGAGTCCAGCGCTACCTTCTCAGTGAACTTCACTGATTGGCAGAGTACAATGACGGGCAATGAGTGGGAGTAGGCAAGCATGGAAACCAGAGCTGTGCCAACGCGCGAGTAGAGGCGACCGTTTGACATCATCGCGTGGGCACCCAGGAAGACCTTCGTCGCGTCCTTGACAGCATGCGAAGCTCCTGTGATGAGATAGTAGCGTACTGAGATGCCGTGGTTTGCGAGTTTCCGAGCTAGCTGCTTGCCCTCGAATAACGGCTTTGAGTCCACGACGATGACTGAGAAAGGTTTACCAGACTGGTGAGCATGTATAATGGTCTGTTCGACTATCGAAGATGCCGCGTAGATCAGGATGACGTCGCCAGCTTGGATCTTGGTAGCTGCCAGGTCACGGATGAGTCGGTCAGCAGCTGTAACACGTTCGCGGATGAATATGTCGATTTCCTCGATGAGGTCTCGCTTCGCCTCATTCTCCGGAGTTGAAGGATCTATCTTGATGATGACTGGAAGATGTCAGTATCTCTTCAGACGTTCTCTAGACACCCCGTTGCTCAATTAAGTCATGTCTGCTCTATCAGGTCAATGTGAAACTCCAACTTACTGTCCTTAAGCCATCGAATGGCGTTTCCCATACTGATGCTGAGCGGTCGACAGCTCTTCAGGAACTCGATCTGAGGACCAAGGTGATGACTGGTCAAATGTCGGGCCAAACTGTTTCCTGGGGGTGTTTGATAGGCCTCGATCACTGTCTTGAACACCAAGAGCATGGCCACCATGCGTGCCGTACTACCACAGATGGCGTAGCTGCTATACTGTAGGCCCAGCGCGAGAACCGCAGGATGTACATCTTTGGACGCGCCGACAAGAGATTGTTGCTTTGGCTGGCTGTAAAGATGACCAAAGAACAGACCAGTCTGGTTTGGTTCTTTCCCCTTCTTCGTCTTTCTCTCTGGGTCTTTCACGACTGGTGCGTTGGCTTGCGATGATTGCCGCCATGGTGGCTGTGGTCTTGACTTGTCGTCTTTTGGTGTCTGCTTCGATTCTTTTTGCTGTTTCTGGCTGTCCTTTGGAGGTCCTTGCTGTTGGTTTGGTGCGCCAGACGCAGCCTTGGCTTGGGCTCGCTTTGCTTGCTTCTCGGCCGCCTTTTGCTTTTTCAACTCCGCTGGTGAGAGCTTTTTGGGCCCGTCTGTGGCATCGCCGTTTGGTGTTGCAGGTGCGCCTTCTTGAGGTGGTACTACTGCCGCAGCGGGTGCAGGCGCTGCCTCTGCAGCGGGTGTCTCAGACATGGCGATGCGACTCTTCTGTTCTCGTCGTCCTTTTAGAATTGGAATGTGGCCAGTCAGGTGTAAAACGATCAGGCGTGGTGGGGCAAAATTAAGTGTCGTGGCGTGAAGTTGGTCCCAAATTCAGTATCTCCAAGCCTGGAGATTTTCGTGGGTCGGTTCTATTAGGTAGAGTAGTGCAGCGCGTGTATGGTCAAGCGTGGCTGGGCAGGCGGAAATTTGATAGAGATGCGTGAATTGAGTCAGAAGTTTGGTCGCCGCTTCTGGTTAGCGCCAAAACGGAAATGTCCCGCAATGATCCCCGCGCTCCCTGCGTCATTGGGCAGGCATCCATCGCGCCTTCTCCAACAGCACAAACATCTTGTTTACTCACACGTCGTCATTGCCACATGGAGCAGGCTTCATTACTTCAACGTTGAACAGCGACACCACCTTCAAGATACTCCTACTTTACATTCGACGCGCCGAAAAGGTGTCCAGACGCAACGCCAAAATGGCCGATACCATCAGCTCCATCACCGACCTCCCCCTCGACATCCTCGTACTCGTATTCCCATACCTCGACGCCAAGAGCTTCCTCGCCCTTTGCAGCACGTGCAAAGCCTTCCAGCAACCGTCGATTCGATTAGACCCAGCGTACTGGAGTTATCTCGCTCGAACGACCTTCCGCGTACCGAACCAGCCAGTCGTACAACATGACGGCGACCGCTGGCAGAAGATGTATCGCCGCATGCTCACCCAGAGCCGCGTATACACATGGGGCCATAACTCGCACAACCGCTTGGGGCATGCTTCAGACCCGGAGGACCACGCACATGGTCGGACGCCTCGAATGAGAGGAATGAGAGCTGGCATGATGCGGCCAGGCAGGCGCATGTACAACGCCCATCAAGCCTTCCCGACGGAGATGGACAAGACACGAGAACTAGGAGTCATTGCCGACATGCAATGTGGTGGCTGGTCCACGACTTTGCTCACCTCCAAAGGTACCCTCTACACTGCTGGCGCCCTTGATGGCCAGAGGATACTCATTGCTAGCGGGCCTCTGCAACCACTCCGCTTCCCAGAAGGCTATCCTTCAAATACCTCCGAGGCCCAATACGAAGAGCCGACTGTCGCCATCCGGCAGTTCTCCTCCGGTCGTGCACACATACTTGGACTCTCCGACAGCGGCCGAATCTGGTCGTGGTACGATGTCAAGAAGCCTGCGCTCCAAGTCAAGTTCGCTACTCTGCAGCTGAACGAACTCTCCTTGAACGACAAGTCGAACGCGACCTCCAACTTCGGACAAGTAAAACAAGTGGTAGCAGGATGGAGCCGCAGCTCGGCCTATGTTCATGGCGTTGGCATCGTCGTCTGGGACCCCGTTGAGCGAGACCATGGCGATGAAGGTACAGACACTATGCTTGTCCTGGAACATGCTGAAGTTCCCAAGACCAGCTACCAGCATGTCAAGGGCAACCGCGATTCAGATGAGCAGAGAGTTCTGCGTCAAGAGGTTGGAGCAGTACTGAACTACGTTATACTGGAGCACTTTGTGCTGTTCAGCACAGACCTGGGTAAGGTGTTCTGTGGAAGATTCGAGGAAAAGAATCGTGTCGAGGATATTGTTGAGCTCCAAACTCTGCGTCACGACCAGGGAGCTCCTCTTGACGTTCAGGGCTCTTTCCGCAACTTTGCCATCTTCAGGGACGATGAAGTAATTACCGGCGACCAGAACTACCTCGAATCATGTTGGAGCAATCGTCACAGTCCAGGGGATGTGCAAGGGCTGAAGAAAATTCCGGCCTTGCAGAACAGTAACGTCATCTCGATTGCTTTCGGCGACTATCACTACCTGGCACTCCACTCGGATGGCAAGATAACTTCATACGGTACCGAGAACTCCGCCTGTGGCGCACTGGGGTTAGGCTCGAACGGTGACAACCTAGTCGGGAACGCACGAGGTATCGTGTATGACCGATTCAATGGCAACGGACAACTTGCCCCTCAAGCCCACACACGCGGTCGTCAGATCTGGTTCGACGCGAGAAAAAACGAATGGCTCAAGCAAGCGGTTCATGACGAAGCACACGCAGAAGAGAGCCAAGAGCGCAGGGAGATGTTCAGGACCGACCCCAACGTCCAAGGCGAGGTCAGTGAGTGGTTCGAGCAGGAAGGAAGAGCCTGGGATCAGGACCGTGGTGAAGACGGTCTTGGTGCCTATTTCGCTCTTCGGGTGAGTGCTGCAGGATGGCACTCGGGCGCTTTGGTTCTGGTCAACGAAGAGTTGGCCCAGAAGGAGCCCACATACAACCGCGAGGATGTACATTTTCCCAGACTCAAGCTCTCTGATGGCAGAGAGATGCCCGGTCAGAAAGATTTTGACGAGTGGAGAGAGGGCCGGCCTACGCCAACCTAGGAAAAAGCTGGACAGCCTGGAGCCTACGTTGACGTTGGGTCACCTACTTTGCAAGGTTTTAGCTTAATGTAGCCTGCAGACCTGTTCGGTTTTTTTTCTTGTATGAGGTGGGCCCAAGCTTCAGCTCAACACATAGGCTAGAGGACTCAGCGCTACTCAGGAGGCACTTGCTACAAATTCTGCCATCAGTTTTACAAATACTACATGCTCCTATCGCATCTCCCCAAGTAACCCACTATCTTGGCATAGATCTGCGCGTTATCGTTCAGGCTTGCAAAAGTTCCTCTGATGCCTGCATGTACTGCCGACGTGGTGGCAACGTACCATGCAGACTTTCCGCGAATGAACGAGGCGGTAGCTGACCGGTCGGAAGCGGGGTGCACGTTGTGTGATGTGTTGCTCAGCCTCAAGTAACCCCACAATTGGTGCGATCATCCTACACCAGCCTGAGGAGGTCATCAAATTAAAGCTCGATTACTTCCGATATGGCGTCTGCTACCTCCTGTTTCTTCGATCTTCTACTCGTCGTTCTGAAACTACTGGAGATCACGTGTCTGTTACTCAAACTCACTGCTGGGACTTTCCTGCGTCGTTTGACTGGCCGACATGATGCAGAACCCGTTCAAATTCCTAGCGTGGCCTCTGTTACTTTCAACGAGCTTTGTGCAACCTGTCAGGGTATCGTCGATATTATCAGCCATCCGGGATGGCATAAAGATCTTGTCCATCACGAATCACTCGCATCTCTTGAGAACTCTTCCGAGCAGTTCTGCGGGATATGTTCGGAAACTCTCGGATACATACAAAGGGAGTTCGCTGAATCCTCGGAGACATTGTTTCCAATCAAATGCGAATCTGATACTTCGTCGGCAAGTTGGCAAAGCGCTTTCGAGTGGAAGTTGACATCGGATGGTGTGAACAACTTTAGTCTGGGTTTCACATTTGAGGTCATTGAGACGCTTCGAAGTAAGCCTTGTCTGGAAGCATCTATCAATTGGATTGAGTACTCACTTTCGAACACAGGCGAACACGCGGCGTACAAACCCGCTTCGTCGACATCTTCTCCCGAGAGCTGGAATTTAATCGAACGCTGGATGGATGAGTGTACTCAAAAGCATATTCGTTGTAACGCAACTATTCCCGAACGCTGGTTCCCAACGCGGGTCCTGGATGTCGGCACTTCCGATGAAGATCGCGTACGATTACTGCATCGTGAAGACATCCCCCCTGGGCAGCCTTACGCAACTCTCTCTCATTGTTGGGGAAAAGTTGTTATGCCGCATACGAACTCGTGGTCTTTATCTCGATTGAGGACCGGCATTGATTCATCATACTTCACGAGAACGTTCTTGGATGCATTTAGCATCACTCGAAAATTGGGCCTTCGATATCTCTGGATTGATGCTTTTTGTATCATACAGGACGACCAGGACGATTGGAACAATGAAGCCAGTCTCATGAGCCTTGTGTATAGGTACGGCTTTATCAATATAGCCGCCACAGGGTCACAGAACTCCAATGGAGGTTGCTTCTGGGACAGAAACCCACGAGCTGTATTGCCAACCGAGTTAAGTATACCCTGGGTCGGTTGCAAAAGGGTTGCAACGAAGAGGTACCTTACCGTATGCGAATCTAACGTGTGGGCTCAGAAGCTCACACGTGAACCGCTAAATCAACGTGGCTGGGTACTTCAGGAGCGTATCCTTTCGCGACGTGTTCTTCACTTCGGGCGAGGGCAGCTTTTCTGGGAATGCAGGCACTTTGCTGCCTGCGAGACTTACCACCAAGGTCTTCCGGATAGTGTGCGTGGACACACATCTATCAACATCAAAAGACTACAACTCGGCGATGAGACAAGAGACGACCGCTGGCCTGCAAAACACATTTCGCAAATTCCACCGGGTATCAGCCCTTCGAGAAGGATCTTGAACGCTATCAGAGCAACCTTGGCGCCTATTTCCATTCAGCAGGTTATCATGCACGCTACTACGAAATCTGCGGCGGTGTTCCAAGATTGGGACGCGATTATTGAATTATACACCGCGTTGCATATCAGCTTTGATTCTGACAAACTCCCAGCTGTGGCAGGTCTTGCTAGCAGTGTGTCTGTTGTGGAACCGGGCGCACCTGGGGACGGCTATCTCGCAGGCCTGTGGCAGTCTTCTTTGCCTGCATACTTCCTATGGAAAACTACAAAAAACGAATTGTCGCGCGCCTTACCGACGCGCCCGGAGGGACGACTGATCGCGCCGACATGGTCCTGGGCCTCAATCAGAAGCAAGATCTCACTCGCATCTTGCCAACACAACTACAACTCCGACGACTACCTGACAGTTCTTCAGGAGGCAGTAGTGACTGACCTAGACGGTTATCGCTTCGGTCAAGTGATTGATGGGTACGTTAAACTTCTTGGCCCGTTAGCCTCGGTATGTTGGACAGCCAACCCCAACACCCACTCCTCACCTGAGCTCAAAACCGGCAAGATAACCCAGATCTTCCCACAAGAACTCGGCAGCCATGTTCCGGTATCGGTTACACCAGACAGTTCGTCTGGTCCTGAAATCTTTTTTGACACAGCAGTAAGCGGCACGCCATCTATAGGAAGGTTAGAATGCATCGATACTACTTCAGAGGACCAAGTACTCACGCTCCTGCCCATCGTTGGGGTCAAGAAGAGAATTGCGTACGAAAGCGAAACAGTCATTGGATTGGTGTTGATACCAGCCAGGCATGGGACGGGGAAATACGAGCGAGTCGGCATGTTCTATACTATGAGACTGCAGGTCAGGCGGATTCTTGCAAACATGCCCCGGCAATCTATCACGATTATCTAAGATTATTTGTTTATGGAATCTCACTCAGTTATGTGACCACCGGCCCAATCTGGAAGCGTTAGTGTAAGGGCTAGTCACGTGCTCACGTGGCGACGGCATCGCCGTGAGGAGTAAACTAGGGCAGCTGGACGTTGCGTAAGATCGACGGGACCACCAACATGCCACTACCATCGATGCATCCCCATTGTTACACTCAGGGGTTTACCCAAGCTCCCGCGCGTTTGATGATGACCCGGTGCTCCTGCTTCGAAGCCGCTGGTATTAATCTCGGATTCGCTAGACGTAGATCTTCTCGCATCCACGGCGTCTCCGAAATTGAGGCAACTGTTCGCGAGAGGCGTGCTCGATCTACGCAAGGATTACAAAATTACTAGAATGTGGATACTGGGCAAGCTGCTGGAAGCCTGAATACGCGAGGACAATCGAAGCCTGGGGGATGTGATATCGTGCGCGGCCAGTAAAAGCCGCCGATCTGACGATAGGGAAGTGGCTTCTGTGTATCAGGTTCGAGCTCATGGATGAAAGCGATCGCGTCTCGGTAGTTCCTACACCGTACGCCATACATTCGGTATCTTCCAGGTTCTATCCATAACATCCAGCTGACAGACAGCCAACCTCGCCGTTGTTCGATGCGCGCTCGCTACCGAGAACCTGTTTTTGAGGTTTGCCCAGCTTCTACAATATCGCGTGGTGTTGTGGGGATCGCACGAGGTACTCCAGATCGTGGATATTCCACGAATGGCGGTCGGAGACGCGACGGATCGACTCATGTTCCGACAGCCACATACAACGGTTGAGTTTGGTAAAGATCGAGACGTGATAACAGCCCACTAAGCCAGCATCGCGTACCAGCCGCCTCTCACGCGATGTGGTTCTTTGGGGTTGAAAAAGGGTACCGCCCCGCAAAAAAGCACATGTGTGGCGGTTGTTTCCCTGAATATACTGATGCTCGTGCTTCAACTGCGAGTCTTTGTTTAGCCGCCTCTCTTACATATTGCTTAAGTTGTTTCCCGACGTATCATGAGCGCCTGCCCTTCGGTTGGCGTTCCTGCAGAAGCTGAAACCGATCCGTCACGGGACGCCTTACTCACCCACCACACCTCGCTCTAACGCCCGTAATGGCGCAACTGCATCGTTCCAACTGGCGGCCCCTTCATCCGCGCAAAGGTCTCGCCAGACGTGTCAAGCCAGCTCGCCGTTGTTCTTGCGCGCAGGATCAGATCTCGGGTCACCCCTGCCGATTAGGCCAGTGAACCAGTGGCGTTAGCCACAACAAACGCCACCATCGCAAACTCAGCTGAGATACCACCAGCCAAGACACGAGGACACTGGTCGTCCTGCTGAGGCCACGCACCAAACCATGCCTACCCCAGCAGAATCCGTGATGTATGCCTTCCACGGGCGCTATTCGTCACAGCTGAACACGATCAGTTTGTTGCCTTTTGCTTGATTTGCGCATCGTGGGCTTACGCTTCACTTTGCCCACCAGCTTTCGTCACCAGGACTACGCCGCGCTAGCTCGCCGATATCTCGATGTTTCAACCGCATCTGGGCGTGCTGATGTCGCCGTCGAAGCATATACGTAGACCAGGATGGCGCGTTCCGCAGAGATTGATGCCCCAGGAACAAACCTGACTCTCACATGCGATATCCTTATTTATACGTAGACCCCAGTGCCAATCCTACAGGAACGAGACAATAACCGTACCCGAGTATTATTACCTGTCTACTATACAACGGAGGATTCCGATTTTAGTGCTTATGCTAACAGTCATTCCCGTTCTTACTCGAAGTAAGTTGTATGAAAGCGGTTGCTTCCCCGTCTTCTTGACTGACGCAGTGGCTAGTTCATCTAGGACCTGCATCATCCCACGCTTCTCATAGTCTGAGTGGATCCCACCAAGCCTCACCTGTCTTCCGTCGGCGTCATTTTGTACCTATGCCTCCACTTCTCAACCCAACGGATTCGCTCAGTACAGAAAGGCGGCTCCCGCTCGTCAGTCTACGGCATCTTTTTGAAGTGTTCTTATTATTGGCGCTCTTTTCGACAGCTTTGAGATCGGCTTTCCTTGCACGGAGACGAAGAACGATGACTAGTTCGGGTATGGGTCAAAGTGACTTGCCCGTCAATCAAGAAAAGAAGTTGGCCATTCACCAAAGAAAAGA